GTGAGATGATGGGACTGACAATTGACTACAAGAGTTATCAACATGGAAGTTACTGGTGACATTTAAAGCTCCATTTCAGGTAGAGAGAAAACCTGATCGTATTGACTTAAGGTAGAGTGAGTATAGAGGCCACTGATACAAGTGATTACAGGTTAGTAAAGTTATCAATCACAAATAAAATAAAACATTTAAGAAGCAGTGTATATTAAGTAAAAAACATTTAAGAAGAAATATATATTAAATAAGACATCATTGAAAAATAAGCAAAAATTCTTAGGAACTAAAAATATTTTTAAAAACATAATCAGTGGACTTTAGGCTTTCTCTTTATTTCTTTTAAACTATATGCATTATTTGAAATTTATTTTTTAGGGCCGGCCCGGTGGCGAACTGGAGAGTGCACTGCTTGGGAGCGTGGTGGTGCTCCCGCTGAGGGTTCGGACCCATGTGGAGACCGGTTCCCGCTCACTGGCTGAGCGAGGTGCAGGCGCAACACCGAGGGTTGCGATCCCGTTACCGGTCAGTAAAAAAGACAAAAAGGAAAAAAAAAAGAAATTTATTTTTTAATTGAAACATATTGATTGTACGTATTTATGTAGTACAGAATTACATGTCAGTACTTGTATACAATGTGTGATAATCAAATCAGGGTAATTAGTACATTAATCACAGCAAAAATGTATCATTTCTTTGTGTTGAGAACATTTGAGCTCCTTCCTTCTAGCCATTTGAGAAAATACGATAAATCATTATTAATTAGACATGCTTAGCACTACTGTGCATCACTAGAACTTAATTTTTTCTATCCAGCTGTAATTTTATATCCAATAGCTAACCTCTCCCTAGTCCTTCTCCTCCCTTTCCCACCCTCTAGTAACCACAATTTTAATCTCTACTTCTAAAAATTCAACTTTTTTTTGAGTTCCCATGTATGAGTGAGAACATGCAGTATTTATCCTTCTGTGCCTAATTTATTTCACTTAACATAATGTCTTCCAGGCTTATTCATGTTGATGCAAATGACAGGATTTTATTCTTTTTCATGGCTGAGTAGTATTCCATTATGTATATATACAATATTTTCTTTATCCATTCATCTGTCAGTGAGCACCTAGGTTGATTCCATATCTTCAATATTGTGAATAGTGCCGCAATAAGCATAAAGGTGTAGATACTTCTTCAGTATGATAATTTCCTTTCCTTTAGATAAATCTCCATAGTTGGATTGTTGGATCATATGGTAGTTCTATTTTAAGTTTTTGGAGGAAACTCCATACTGTTTTCCATAAAACCTGTACTAATTTACAGTCCCACTAACAGTGTATAAGAATTCCCTTTTCTCCACATCCTCACCAGAATTTGTTATTTTTCCTCTTTTATAACAGTCACTCTAACAGGGGTGAGATGATATCTCCTTGTGGTTTTGGTGTGCATTTCCCTGATGATTAGTAATGATGAGCATTTTTTATATGCATTTTTGGCCATGAGTATTTCTTCTTTTGAGAAATGTCTAGTCAGGCCAGTTGCCCATTTTTTTAATTGGATATTTGGTTTTTTTCCCTTTGACTTAGGTAAGTTCCTTCTATATTCTGGATATTAATCCCTTGTTGAATGAATAGTTCACAAGTGTTTTCTCCCATTCTTCTGGTTGCCTCTTTGCTCTGATGATTGATTGGGATTTTTTTGCTGTAGAGAAGCTTTTTAGTTTGATGTAATTCCATTTGTCTATTTTTGTTTTTGTTGCCTGTGCTTTAGAAGTCTTCACCATAAAGTTTTTGCTCAGACCAATGTCTTTGAAGTGTTGCCCTATGTTTTCTTCTAGTAGTTTAAACTTTAAGGTCTACATTTAAGTCCATTTTGAGATGCTTACAGCATATGGTGAGAGATAGAGGTCTAGGTTCTTTCTTCTGCAACCTCATCAGCATTTGTCATTCTCAGTCTTTTGGCTATTAGCCATCCTAACTGGAGAGAGATGTTATCTCAGTGTGGTTTTGATTTGCATTTCCCAATTGCTGAGTGATGTTGAATATTTGTTTATATGTCTGTTGGCATTTGCATATCTTCCTTTGAGAGAATGCCTATGCACCTCCTTTGCCCACTTTTTAATTGGGTTACTTGTTTTTTTAGTGTTAAGTTGTTTGAGTTCCTTTTATATTCTGGTTATTAATCCTTTTTCTGATGTATATTTTGCAAATATTTTCTCCCACTCTATTGGATGTCTTTTTGCTCTGCATGGAAGAACAAAAGACCTTGAATAACCAAAGCAATTCGGAGCAAAAAAACTAAAGCTGGAGGCATAACACTACCTGACTTTAAACTATACTACAAAGCTATAATAACCAAAACAGCATGGTACTGGCATAAAAACAGACACACAGACCAATGGAACAAAATAGAGAATCTACAAGTCAACCCATGCACCTAGAGCCATCTTATCTTTGACAAAGACTCCAAGACCATACAGTGGGGAAGAGGTTGTCTCTTCAGTAAATGGTGTGGGAATATTGGACATCCATATGTAGGAGAATGAAACTAGATCCATACCTCTCACCATGTACTAAAATCAACTCAAAATGGATCAAGGATTTAAATATACACCCCAAAACAATAAAACTTATTAAAGAAAACATAGGAGAAACCCTTCAGCAAATAGGGCTGGGCACAGACTTCATGAATATGACCCCAAAAGCACGGGCAACCAAAGGAAAAATAAACAAATGGGACTATATCAAACTAAAAAGCTTCTGCACAGCAAAAGAAACAATTAACAGAGCTAAAAGACAACCAACAGAGTGGGAGAAAATATTTGCAAAATACACATCCAACAAAGGACTAATATCCAGAATATATAAAGAACTCAAACAACTTTACAAGAAAAAAACAAGCAACCCAATCAAAAAATGGGCAAAAGAACTAAGTAAGCATTTCTCTAAAGAAGATATGCAAATGGCCAACAGTCATATGAAAAAATGCTCAACATCACTCAGCATCCAGGAAATGCAAATCAAAACCACACTGAGATACCATCTCACCCCAGTTAGGATGGCAAAAATCCAAAAGACACCGAAAGATAAATGCTGGCGTGGCTGCGGAGAAAAAGGAACTCTCTTACACTGTTGGTGGGAATGCACAATGGTGCAACCCCTATGGAAAATGGTTTGGAGGTTCCTCAAACAGCTGAAGATAGACCTACCATACGACCCAGCTATCCCACTCCTGGGAATATATCCAAAGGAATGGAAATCATCAAGTCGAAGGTACACCTGT